GTGTGTGTTATCCGAGGTTCAGACTGTATAAAATAAAAGATGGTATTATTGTTAGCTTTCAGAGTTAATCGCTCATTGAAGCGAACAAGGCTTTCTTAGGAAAGAAAATGTGACACAGGTTTTTTGTTTGGTGGGGTAGTTTTTTTAGGTTTTGTACCCTAGGAATGTGATGTGATTCTGTAAACTTAAAAAGAAAAGCAAAACTTCTCATTTGTAGTCTGCAATCTCTGAGGAGCGTATATAGTGATATATTCTGCAGCATAATCTAGGGTTTCAGTGTTTTTAACGTTTGTATTGTCAGATTAGCACCACATGTAAATGTGTGATTCTGTAAACTTAAAAACAAAAGCAAAACTTCTCATTTGTACTCTGCAATCTCTGAGGAGCATATATAGTGATATATTCTGCAGCATAATTTAGGGTTTCAGTGTTTTTAACATTCGTATTGTCAGATTAGCACCACATGTAAATGTGTAGCTACAGTCCATAGAGCTTGGAATTTCAGACATTGTTTCTATTATCCTTTGAATAGAAACAGTCAAAGAATGGATCTGGAAGCCAGCAGGAATTTGACATCTGAGCAAAAAATAAGTGTGTTTAGCTCTCTTATTTTTCTTTCTTTGTGAGCAATGGCTAGGATGACTTCTGTGTTTTTTATAATTTCAAAGAAACACTGCTTCCTCATTTAATTCTTCTTAATTCTGTGCAGTAACGAAACACCATCTTTTTCCACTCTGATATTTTCACAAGTGAAGTCCAGAAGTCTTTTAATTCCAAAAGCTTGACGCCTTCAGCTAAATAGTGTTAAAACAAACCTGTTTGTACAGTAGTGTTTTGTCACTGAAATTGCCATCATTACTGCATGAGTAGGGTACCCTGAAGCACTGAGTCTTGGTTGACGTACCTTCAGATATTTATTTGCCATTCTAGTATTGATTCTTCTTTTCCCCCAAATTGTACACAATAGCATGTGAAATTTTTTTGGCACTGTTCATTGCATGAAGCGAGCACATCACAGGAGAAATTAAGTATAACAAGAATTAAAAATTAACACGTAGCAGGATATTTGCAAAAAAATAATGTTTTAATTGTGAAAGCCAGTGGACTGAATTTGACCTGGAGTATAACGTGATAATGCCTGTAACTTGAGGCAGTTTTGTTTTAATGGAACAAGCAGATATGACTTCCGTTGTGAAGAGCAGAGAGATGAGGGAGAGGGTGGGCGTAGGATCAAATCATAATGACTTAATGATTTTCTTCAGTAAGCTAATCAATCTCAGTAACCTTTTTAAAACCCATTTTCTAGAGTAGCTGTGGCCAGCATCATCTTTCATTGAACCTACACTGAGCATGGCTGCTGGGGTATTTTACTGGCTGCTTAAAAAAGCTAAAGATGATTGGAAGACTAGAAGGAATGAATTCTGGTCTTCATAGGTAAGACCAGAATTTACAGTGTTAGTCTATAGATTTATGTGAGCAGTGGCAAGGACCCCACCGTATCTTCTGCTGTTCTGATCACATAAATCTGAAGTGTTTTCTTTCTGTGGGCTCATTTTAGAGAAATCCATGAAGTGGATATTATGTGTTTGACACAACATGGCATTTTTCAAGTGGGAAGCCTGTAGGATGTGTCTGAAGGTAGACATGAACAATTTACTGAAAGCTAATAAATTGACCTGTGCTTCCTAGTGCCTATTTTCATACTCTTAACAGTGGTGCTTAGCAGGTAGTTTCTACCTTTTTCTTTAAAGAATAAGCTTTTTTGCATTTACCACATAGTGAGAGCATGCATGAAGTAGTTACTGTTGAATAACTGATGTGTGCTAAATTCACATCCTCTCTTACTTTGCAGTAACATGCAAATTCTTTGTATTATGAGGCCTAACTCTTTTTAATAACCTTTTAATTAACCTCACTGTAGGCAGAAGATCAGAAATATCAGAAATATTCTTTTTGTTCAGAGGTTGGAAATGGTTATTTATAAAAAAATAATTGGCATGCTGTAACTGCAAGCAGAAAGCAAGCTGTATGTACTGACCCATCTAAATAACTGCAAGTGCAGGTTGCAGTCGTTGACAGACAAGAAAGAAGTGCTGGCAGCTGCCACAGCATGCATTCCTTGATGCTCTGAGAGTTTATTTGGTGGTTATATCAATCATATATGTAAGGCTTATCTGGATTCATGTTGGACTTGAATTCATCATCCCTCCTGGAGTGCTTGGACACACCCAGCTGCCTCTGCAGCACTCGCTCTCCGCAATCAAATCTTTCTGCATCTCCCAGTGCATCCAGTGTTATCCAGATTATCTCCCCATTAGTTTGTGTATCGGAGGTCTGTATTGTGTATAAATACATAGAAGTGCAACTCACATATAAATAGACCTTACAGCTCCTTGATGAACGTGTTATTCCTGTTTTAATGATGAAGCAGCTGAGGCATTCTGATCAGCGTTTTCATCAATTATAACACAGTTTTCAACAAATCACTGTGTTTTTCCATTCTGTATGATCCGTAGGCTCTGTATATCTCTGGATGTATAGATGCATCACGGGCAAAGTGTTGTTTCCAGAACAGTGTATGTTTTGCTCCAATAAAAGGAGTAGGTTTTGATGTTCTGTGGTAGTTAAGGAGTTTTTGAGTAATCAAATCTTAGCTTTGATATATTTTTTTTTGGCAGGTTCAGGCAAACATTTTAGTTGGCGTTTTTCTTCCTGGAAGTTAGAAGAGTGTCAAAATTAGTGCACAAGGTGAAAAGAGCCATTTAAAATATTTATGGTGAGGGAACCTCTTGACTTCACACCTCAACATTGGTGGTATGGGAAGTGTCTGTCTGAACCTCAAGGCCTCGGGCTGCCATTTTGGGAGGCAAGGAGTTAGTTGGGGATGGAAAGACTGGAGTTTGTATTCTTTCTGCTCTGTTACCCATTGCTATCTTCATGGATCTGACACTCTGTTTATCTGACAGTGCACTCAGTACTGCTTCGCCAGGGAAAATTGCACAAAACAAGCCCAGTGCATCAGCATTTTCATTGTGTATCAAGCTGAGCCTCCCTTCACATGGTCACATCCCCTTTTTAATCTGGGATTCCATGTCCCTTTCCCAGTCCAGCCTGTTTCTGTGGTGTCTATTGCTGGTCTCCCTGGGCTTCTGTTTCTGTGGTTTGAGTGTTTTTTGTGTGGCTGAGTGCTAAGACCTGCAGGACTTTTGGAAGTGGCGTTGTTTGGGGGTTAGGCAATACACTGATTTAGTGTTAGTAGTTTGTCAGACTGAGGTGATGGCTGCGTTCAAGTTGGATTTCCTCCCAGAGATGATGGTGGACCATTGCTCCTTGAATGCTAGCCCTGTGTAAGTATTTTGTCTTCATATTTAAGTTTATAACTAAAGCAATAGTTGGAATTGCTGTCTCTGAAGCCTCCGCTGTCTGATGAACTCCCCTTGAGGAGGGGGATAAAGAGAGAGAGGAGAGAGACCCTGCAGGTCTTTTTTCTTGCACAAATCCTAGTGGGCGTTGACAATTGATGTTGGATTCTGGATAGAGGGGAAAATGATCTGATAATTTTGGGATGAGGGCTAAGGAGGAATAAGGCTATTTGGCAGTACTGTTTATAGTATGCTACAGGTGCTCATGTCATAAAATCGGTTCTTTAAATCAGTTGTTGGGAGAACAGTTTCTGTTTGTTCCTACTAATGACTCTAGACTAAACCTTTTGATTAGGAATGAAAGGATCCTTGAATACTGCTGAGGTCATGTTAAGAGTTCGCCCGTTAATATAAAGGAGCCAGACTATCTTCTTTAAGCTACCTTTGGCATAAAAGGCAGGGCTGAAATTTATTATTGGAAGAGAGTAAATGATTTCCAGTTGTTCTCAAATGGAATGAAAAAAACACTGAATGAAGAGAGAGAGTTTACTTCTTTGTAAAAGGTATTTGCTTTGGCTACTTGGAGAGGTGCTGATCCTTTCTGAGTGAAAAGGTGGAGAGGAATGAAAGGATTTGAGACTATTTCCTTCCCTTCTAGTAAGAAGCTTTGTTGTTTCTGAGGTCTGTTCATACAGCTATAAAGTCTTGAGCTTTCCCTGCCTTCAGTTTTTCCTTAGGCTCAAACAGCAGTATCGAAGAACTAACTAAACGTTACCTGGTTTGGAAATTTTTTAAATTATTAATTTCAAATTCTATTTGGGGGTAATATGGTTGAAGATGGACAGTAAGAGGAACAGTATACTGTAAAATGCAGTTAATAAGTCATTCAAAAACTATGTTTAAAGGAAAAAAGAGCCACCTACTCTGGGAGAAGGCCACCTGTATTCTTCAACAAAGAGTTTGGGGGGGGACAATCATTGTATAGTTACCCTTCCACTCCGCGTGTTCTTTCTAGATTATGCAGGGGTTGGTCAGCAATTTTGACCTACTAATCACTATAGCTACAATAGGATGTCATTACAGTCAGTCTTCTAGAGATAGGTCCTTCGGTATACCAGGCTGTGACTGGATCTTCACCCTGGGAAACAATTCCAGACAGTTACATTTAAAAACAACCTGAAAAAAATGTTCCTCTCTCCTTTTCAGTGGTTACTGATAACGTCAGTAGACTGTGTTTAGGTGCCTTCCTGTTCTGGTTTCGTTCTCTGTAAAATTCTACATGGTTGAACTAGTGGTATTTTTCAGTCATCTCAATAGATTTGTGTCCTGAATCCCAGATGTTGACTACATTAAAGGAATAAACGTTAAGAGAAGTTTTAAACAGCTGTGCAGAGCATTTGGTTTCTAAGTACACAGCGTGCCAATGAATGTGAATGACGTTTCTGAATATTCTCTGGTATGCAGGACTGGGAATGTGCAAGAGTCTCTCTTTATATATATTTTAATTATATACATTTATATGTGTGGAAATGGATTTTTTTTCTTAAATCTCACTGTAAGCATGCTGCTTCTAGCTGCACTAGCATCTGTAATCTGTGGAAACAGATAATCCAGAAATTACTTCTTGTTTTTTCATAGCTCAAAGAAAATGAATGGCACACTGGATCACCCAGACCAACCTGATCTAGATGCTATCAAGATGTTTGTGGGTCAAGTCCCACGGAGCTGGTGTGAGAAGGATCTAAGAGAACTCTTTGAACAGTATGGTGCTGTCTATGAAATCAATGTCTTGAGGGACAGGAGCCAAAACCCTCCTCAAAGCAAAGGTGAGAACTTCTCAGTGGAGACTTGGGTTCTCAGCTGCTTTCACATACTTAGTATCTTAGCTGCTTATTCAAAGACCCCTGTGTTTTGGAGATCTCTGTGACCAGGCATGCATGTGAGTCCAGTCTTTATAGTCTTAAATGTATGTGTCTAATTATACTCGGATTGTGATGCAGTTATTGGCTGAACTGAGGGAAATTAGAGTTACTTTTTTAGAGCTCAGAAGTGATGGAGATACTTAAAGAATATGGATTATAATTGCAAAGTGTATTGTGTTGCTTCAGAGCATCATTGTGATGCCACAGTATGATCAGAAATGTTGCTGGAAGTGTCTCTGTTTCAGATAAAATATAAAATTGAAGTCTTAGTCATTCGTGTACATCAAATCCTAACTAAATGCTGTGCCTTGATGTACAGTTCAGTTATATGCAATATCTTATTTCCTTTGAAGCTATGTAAGTTTTTGGTACTAGCAAATAATTGTTAAGTTTGACAATGGAAGTAGCCAACAATTATTTGACAGATGTATCTAAATCTTTGGGTTAATTGGTGATGTTCGGTCAGTTCTGAATATATCCTATTTTGTTACACTTAGAAATCTTTTAAACAGTCTTAATCAGTAGGACCTACCTATTTCATAGAATCTTATTTCGGTGTCTAATCTCTTCTACTTGTCATATGTTTTGCATTGGAAGGATAGAACAATCAGTAGGACCTACCTATTTCACAGAAAATCTTATTTCAATGTCTAATCTCTTCTATTTGTCATATGTTTTGCATTGGAAGGATAGAAGTGGGACTTGCAATTTCTGTACAGCATGTCAAGATTCATAGTGTACCTACTTGCCTAACATCTTGTTTCAATTACAGGGTGCTGTTTTGTTACATTTTATACCCGTAAAGCTGCACTAGAAGCACAGAATGCTCTTCACAACATGAAGATCCTCCCAGGGGTAAGAGAAGAACCATGCTTTCTTTGCAACTGTTTTTCCGAGCTCTGGCCCCACGGATGTACAAACATATTTTATCTTGCCCTCAAATAATGTTTTTAAAAGAACTATTCAAAAGAGCAATGTAATGAGATTTGTATGATAACAGATCTTAAGGGAATTTTGGAACATTTGGGAGAATTATATGGTAGTGAAGTGGGCGGACATGGTTCCTATAATACTCTCTGAGGAGGAATGATGGCATATCATGAGGAAAGGTTTTTCTTTCTTCTAGAAATTTATGTATTGTTACATAGGCACTTCTGTAGAGGCAATTTGGGCTGCCATTTTTTTCTTCTCTTCCACAATTCTTATGGGATGTATTCCATGTAGTATGAAGTGAATGCATCAGAATTAAATAATCTTTCCATGTTTCAGATGCACCATCCTATCCAGATGAAACCAGCTGACAGTGAAAAGAGTAATGGTAAGTATTACTAGAGTCTGAGTTTGGCATCATTTGTGCTACTGGGGAAGCTTGAGGATTTTCCTTTCCTTGAACAGCTTCTGATGAAGTCTGCTTGAATTGGAGACCTGATTTTTATTTTTTTTTTAAAAGATTTTTTAAAAAAAAGGGGGGAAAAGGTATGTTTTCAATAATTTTTTTAAAAAGATTTTTTTTAAAAAAGGGGGGAAAAGGTATGTTTTCAATATAGTAGGTAGCATAAATGATGTCTCTCAAATTCCATGACTCAGTATCTCCCACTGTTGCTGCTTGTGGTAGAACCACATTGTCAATTAGGGAAACATCCAGTGAGTTCTTCTTTGTACTAAGGTAGTTTAAATCTTTGTTGGGGACATGGACAGTGGGATCGAGTGCACTCTCAGCAAGTTCATGGATGACACCAGGCTGAGTGCTGTGGTTGATACCCTAGAGGGAAGGGATGCCATCTAGAGGGAATTTGACACGCTAGAGAGGTGGGCCCATGCGAACCCCATGAAGTTCAACGGGGCCAGGTGCAACATCTGGCATGTGAGTTAGGGGCAATTGTGATGAAGGGATTGAGAGCAGCCCTGCAGAGAAGGACTTCAGGGTATGGGTGGATGAAAACCAAATATAATCTGGCAATGTGTGCTCGCAGCTCAGAAAGCCAGTTGTGTCCTGGGCTGCATGAAAAGAAGGTCAAGGGAGGCGATTCTCCCATTCTACTCCGCTCTTGTGCTCACCTGGAGTGCTGCGTTCAGCTCTGGGGCTCCCGGCATAAGAAGGACATGGACCTGCTTGAGCTGTGTTCAGCTCTGGGGCTCCCAGCATAAGAAGGACATGGACCTGCTTGAGCTGGTCCAGAGGAGGGCTGTGAAGATGGTCAGAGTGTTGGAGTACTTCTGCTGTGAGGACAGGCTGAGAGAGTTGTTGGAGGACACTCTATGAGGACAGGCTGAGAGAGTTGGGGTTGTTCAGCCTGGAGAAGAGAAAGCTCTGGGGAGACTTTATTGCGGCCTTCCAGGACTTAAAAGGGGCTTACAGGAGAGATGGGGAGGGACTCTGTCAGGGAGTGTAGCAATAGGTGAATGGGTAACAGTTTTAAACTGAAAGAGGGGAGATTTACATTAGATATTGGGAAGAAATTCTTCACTGCAACAGGTTGCCCAAAGAAGCTGTGAATGCTCCCTTACTGGAAGTGTTCAAGGCCAGGCTGGATGGGGCTTTGAGCAACCTGGTCTAGTGGGAGGTGTCCCTGTCCATGGCAGGGGCTTGGAATTAGGTGATCTGTAAGGTCTTTTCCAACCCAAACTGTTCTATGATTCTATGAAATCTAGAAATGCTTTTTCAAGTGCTTGACCAATTTGAAACAAGGCCTGTAGCAGCTGCAGTGGGAGTTAAAACTACTTATAGTTTATAAGAGAATTCACAACAGGTCAATAGAGGAAAAAAAAGAATATGTCTGCACATTGGCCATTTCAGATGGATTAAGACATTTAGCATCTACAATTGGGTAAATGATCATTTATCCATATATTTCCATGATGAGTTTCTATATGTACATGGCTCAAATGTGTGTGTCTGTATATATTGATGCAAGATAAGCAAAGCAAGTGTTTAGCATTTTATAGTTTCAGCCTGTCTAACTTTGGCTGAATTTTATTTTCTTCATTTCCCATAGTTACTATAAAATTAGTGTTGCATCATGGAGAATAATCCTGGTTCCAGAAAGCTTACATCTTCAAAAATTGAAAACAGAAGATGAGATAACATAAAGTAGGAGTAATTCCACCTGCAGATACCTCCATGTGTATACAGAATGTTTCTGTGTAAATAGATCTACAATACAGTACTTCTTTTGAAGCGTAGTTAGGAGGAGAATGGAATAGGTTCTCTAAGCTAAAATGGATCTTGCATTATACAAACACACGAATATCCTAGGAAAATAACATAAAGGGGGAAAAGTATTTAATGGAATTTTGGGGTTACAGTTCTGAGGCTATTATATAATGATTCAAGTTTTAGTAAAATGTGTAGGTGAAAATACGAATAAGAAAGTATTAGTTAAAAAATCATTTTAGCTTACCTCTAATAAAAGGGATTTTGAATCTCTTGAGCTAAAAGGGACTGAAAAAAGGATTTGAAAGCAGCTTTCTGCTCTAAGACCTTCAAAGTGAACTGGGTACAACATTAAGATTTAATAGTCAGTTAAAGTTATGTCAGCTTGAATAGTTTGGAACTTTTGTCTTCAACACTGTGGAAGACTCAGCAAATAAGTTGATTTCTCCTCACCATGGCACCAAATAGGAGAAGATTTTTCTGTCTTGAAGCTTCAAATCGTGCCACAGCCTCTGGCATATTGTGCTGAATGTTGCATTTGCAAACTGGTTTTTATTTCCAAATGGTATTCTGCATAACTTGCTTCATCCTTTAAAAATAAGTATTTCAGAGGTGACTAGTATCCATAAGTAAATAAAACAAGAGGTATAAAGTTCTGCTCTGGATTCAAATTTACCCCACTCCCTTAAGTGACCTTAGACGCACATTAGTAACCACTGAGAAATTTATTTCTGGACCATTTATTTTAAAATAGTCTGCACACTGAAAGGTGTTCTTCAACTCTAATGTATCTAGTACCATCAACATGTAGAGGTAAGGTGCAGCAGTGTACAGTCCATTGTTATGGTCTGAGGTGTTATTTTCAGGCTTTTAGTACAGATCAGAAGGGATGAATCTGAAACAGAACTAAAACTGTTCTGTTTTGGCAACTGCTGTAGCTTCTGCTGTTGAGACAGGAGCATGAGGAAATAGGCAGATCTAAATTTAAGTGATTGGCGTGATGAAGAGGGTAGAAAGAAGCTTTCTGCAGCTCACTTGCTTCTTTAGAGACAGCAAGGCATGTTGGTTGTCTAAAGATAGAAGAGACAGAGGAGAGGGAATGAAAATAGTCCCATAAAATACATGTAGGTCTTCTCTCAGTCACCATGAACTGAATGTAGGAGATACAGGGAAATGCTGAATCTGATATATTTTTCCTTTCCTTACATTCTTGCAGCTCACAGGCTTGCAAGGGAGAACAGTCAGCAAAATGTAAACATAAAACATCATAAAACAGCCATCTTTCAGGTATATTGAGGTATCTCATATGCATCCTCTTAAAATGAAGACATTCCATTATTGGGAATCTGGTTTTGACAACTCCCTACCCTAAATACAAGGGAAGTGAGTCTAGTTGATGGGCAAGACTTGATGAAATAAGATCTAGTAAGCACATATTTGCTAATTATACTCTTATTCTTTGATTTCTTAGCAGTAGAAGATAGGAAGTTGTTTATTGGAATGATATCCAAGAAGTGCAATGAAAATGATATCCGAGTGATGTTCTCCCCCTTTGGGCAGATTGAAGAATGCAGGATATTACGGGGCCCGGATGGCCTGAGCCGAGGTAAGCAGGAAGCTCTTCCCATAGTTCAAGGTTCTCCACTGGATGCTGCCTTTTGCAACTCAGGGTGGTGTTTCAGCCCTTTCTGTGATCCCACACCACCACCCACCCCCAGCCCCGTAGGCATTTTCATTTCTTTATTCATCCCAGTAATCGCGGATGTAGTGAATGACTTAGTTCCTTCTTGTTCTTTCCCCAGGTTGTGCGTTTGTGACTTTTACAACAAGAGCCATGGCACAAGCAGCAATCAAAACAATGCACCAAGCACAAACCATGGAGGTAAAACAAGTTAGTGGGTGTCAGGAGAAGATGTAATTTTTCAGGCAGTCACTATGTAGTTTGGAGGACTAGAGAGCAGAGGGAAGGCTATGCACTGTGTGCTTCTTCACAAATGCTACTCCTGGACCTTGGTGGTTGTTCTGCTCCTATTTTTAGAACTCGAGATAGAAACTTCATCTTCAGAGAAAATACCAAAATATAAAATAGAATCAAAAGCAAATGAGACTTTGAACCTTTGATGAAATGTGCTGTTTGAATGTATGTATGTTTGCATGCATGTCAGGGGAGGGGAGGAGAATGCTTCCAGTGACTGGGTCTTAATGCAGTGTTTTTGTGACTGCTGGGGGTAGCAAGCATGTATGTTTGCATGCGTGTCAGGGGAGGGGAGGAGAATGCTTCCAATGACTGGGTCTTAATGCAGTATTTTTGTGACTGCTGGGGGTAGCAAGCATGTAATTGTTTGAATTGCTGTTTGCAGGGTTGCTCTTCTCCCATTGTGGTAAAATTTGCAGACACACAGAAGGACAAAGAGCAGAAACGAATTGCTCAGCAACTCCAGCAACAAATGCAACAGATCAGTGCTGCCTCCGTATGGGGAAACCTGGCTGGTCTCAACACACTTGGACCCCAATACTTAGCAGTGAGTTTCTAATTTGGGTTCTTTTCACCTCTTCAGGGGTTGCAGTGTCTGACTGTCTTGTAGTGTTCAATGTATTCATTTTTAGAGGGTTCTTAATCCCCATTTTGTGGATGAGGAGGCTGAAGTAAATTTATCTAAGTGAGGATTTCAACCTCAGTCACTGTAGCCCTGACTACTGAAGCTTTTTTCCTCTCTGTCTTCTGTAGAGTGACTTTGTGCTGGGAAGTTTTTCTTCTTATGCTATAGCCTCACTGTTTGCCCATATAAATACCCTTTTCATGTCTATCTGATGACATAGTTCTTGTATTCCTCTTCCATTTTTCCTTTTTCAGCCTTTATTTCTCTCATCCCCTTTGAGTGAAACCTAGAACAGTACTTGGTTCTGTCCAGATAGAAAAGATGATCAGGTTGGAAGCACCCAGTAGCTGACTGTGCACAGAAATAGAATCAAAAGCAAATGAGATTTTGAACTTTTAATGAAATGTGCTGTTTGAATGTATGTATGTATGTTTGCATGCGTGTCAGGGGAGGGGAGGAGAATGCTTCCAATGACTGGGTCTTAATGCAGTATTTTTGTGACTGCTGGGGGTAGCAAGCATGTAATTGTTTGAATTGCTGTTTGCAGGGTTGCTCTTCTCCCATTGTGGTAAAATTTGCAGACACACAGAAGGACAAAGAGCAGAAACGAATTGCTCAGCAACTCCAGCAACAAATGCAACAGATCAGTGCTGCCTCCGTATGGGGAAACCTGGCTGGTCTCAACACACTTGGACCCCAATACTTAGCAGTGAGTTTCTAATTTGGCTTCTTTTCACCTCTTCAGGGGTTGCAGTGTCTGACTGTCTTGTAGTGTTCAATGTATTCATTTTTAGAGGGTTCTAAATCCCCATTTTGTGGATGAGGAGGCTGAAATAAATTTATTTAAGTGAGGATTTCAACCTCAGTCACTGTAGCCCTGACTACTGAAACGTTTTTCCCCTCTGTCTTCTGTAGAGTGACTTTGCGCTGGGAAGTTTTTCTTATGCTATAGCCTCACTGTTTGCCCAAATAAATGCCCTTTTCATGTCTATCTGACAACATAGTTCTTGTATTCCTCTTCCATTTTTCCTTTTTTAGCCTTTATTTCTCTCATCCCCTTTGAGTGAAACCTAGAACAGTACTTGGTTCTGAATTGTTTGAATTGCTGTTTGCAGGGTTGCTCTTCTCCCATTGTGGTAAAATTTGCAGACACGCAGAAGGACAAAGAGCAGAAACGAATTGCTCAGCAACTCCAGCAACAAATGCAACAGATCAGTGCTGCCTCCGTATGGGGAAACCTGGCTGGTCTCAACACACTTGGACCCCAATACTTAGCAGTGAGTTTCTAATTTGGGTTCTTTTCACCTCTTCAGGGGTTGCAGTGTCTGACTGTCTTGTAGTGTTCAATGTATTCATTTTTAGAGGGTTCTTAATCCCCATTTTGTGGATGAGGAGGCTGAAGTAAATTTATCTAAGTGAGGATTTCAACCTCAGTCACTGTAGCCCTGACTACTGAAGCTTTTTTCCTCTCTGTCTTCTGTAGAGTGACTTTGTGCTGGGAAGTTTTTCTTCTTATGCTATAGCCTCACTGTTTGCCCATATAAATACCCTTTTCATGTCTATCTGATGACATAGTTCTTGTATTCCTCTTCCATTTTTCCTTTTTCAGCAATAAATGCCCTTTTCATGTCTATCTGACAACATAGTTCTTGTATTCCTCTTCCATTTTTCCTTTTTCAGCCTTTATTTCTCTCATCCCCTTTGAGTGAAACCTAGAACAGTACTTGGTTCTGTCCAGATAGAAAAGATGATCAGGTTGGAAGCACCCAGTAGCTGACTGTGCACAGTCCTTTTTTAGCCTTTATTTCTCTCATCCCCTTTGAGTGAAACCTAGAACAGTACTTGGTTCTAGAAAAGATGATCAGGTTGGAAGCACCCAGTAGCTGACTGTGCACAGAAAGAAAAAAAAGAGAGAAAAAAACAAACCAAAGAAAACAAAAAAGCCTACAGAAAATAGACAAACTACTCTATTTAGCAAAAATGATGCAACAGGAGGTAGTCTGCATTTGTCACTGATTGTAGTTGATTTTGCTGGGTCCCTACAGGGTGAACCTCTCATAAAGTGATGTGCTCTGGCTCAGGTTGCCAGAGTAACTATGAGAACTGTATTCAGGCAATAGAAGATCTGGGGAACAGGAAAGGAACATTTCATTTCATTCTTGGTATGGTGTACTGTTGGAGTGGAGGCATTCTCTCTTTTACTGCTGAGTTAGGTTTGGGAGGTTAGAATTTTTTATAACAACCTGGTTAATGGAGAAAGGAATAGGAAATCCCTCTAAATTGCTTCTGAGCTGAGGGGTTGACATTTCTCTCATGTCTGGAGGGGCTTCCTTTAGACAAACTACTCTATTTAGCAAAAATGATGCAACAGGAGGTAGTCTGCATTTGTCAGAGAGAAACTAGTCTATTTAGCAATAGGCAAATAGGCAATGATGCAACAGGAGGTAGTCTGCATTTGTCACTGATTGTAGTTGATTTTGCTGGGTCCCTACAGGGTGAACCTCTCATAAAGTGATGTGCTCTGGCTCAGGTTGCCAGAGTAACTATGAGAACTGTATTCAGGCAATAGAAGGTCTGGGGAACAGGAAAGGAACATTTCATTTCATTCTTGGTATGGTGTACTGTTGGAGTGGAGGCATTCTCTCTTTTACTGCTGAGTTAGGTTTGGTAGGTTAGAATTTTTTATAACAACCTGGTTAATGGAGAAAGGAATAGGAAATCCCTCTAAATTGCTTCTGAGCTGAGGTGTTGACATTTCTCTCATGTCTGGAGGGGCTTCCCTCTCATGGTGGCTCTTTGTTTTCGTATGGCATTTGCCATTTGTCTTGTCCTGGCAGTGTCAGCTGTTAAGCCTGGCTTGAGGTAGCATATCCTTAGGGGTAGCAATCCTGCCTGAGGTGCTTTGAATAGTCCTCTCTCACTACTGATTCTACTGGTTTTGTCTTGGTGTGTTAGCTATAAACTCCCCTCAGCATTGATGGTGTTGAGTGAGGACAGCGTGCTGTTGCTTTGGCTGCAGTGTGATGCATGGGCAGTGTGGATTTTCACCGTGATGGTGCTCTGGCTGTACTTTGTAAGGGGAATTCTCTTTACGCTTGGCTAGGATGTGGTGCATGGGCAGTGGCAATTCCCTTTGTGACGGCGCTCTGGCTGTGGTGTGGTGCAGTTTCTCCCAGAAGCGGAGCCAGCCCTCACTCTCACTCTTGTTTTGTTTTTTGGTGTAATGTCTAGCTTTATTTGCAGCTCCTTCAGCAGACAGCAGCTGCGTCATCTGGGAACCTGAACACATTGAGCAGCCTCCACCCAATGGGAGGTGAGTTTTTTTCCACTAGAAGACAAATTCAGTGCCAAAGAAAAGAGGAGGAGGGTAGAGAAAGTAGCCAGAAGGCTGTAGACCCATTAACCTCATTTAAAATAATTAGGCCTGGCTTTATCGGCTCCTTTGGAATGACAGGAATCCTCTGCTACAAGCATGGATGTTCCTTCTTAATCTTAGTTAACCATTTTCCCCAAGGTAAGTTGTGGTATGCTGGTCATCTCCCCTACCTCTGGCATTTAAAATTATCTTCCCTTATGGGTACAAAAAGATGGCTCTGTATATTTGTTTTTATCCAAACAGGTGCATATGTAAAGCTTTGTGTTTTGACGTAAGCACTAATGCATGGGTTTCAGCGATAACAGATTCTTAAGTTCCCTGTTTAAAATTCTTTTTCCTAAATACGTCAAAGTTGGAAATGCAATGTTGGTAGGAATGTGAATTTTCAGCGATAACAGATTCTTAAGTTCCCCGTTTAAAATTCTTTATTCCTAAATACATCAAAGTTGGAAATGCAATGTTGGTAGGAATGTGAACTAGTCCTTCATTCAGGTTCTTTAATTCCTTCATTTGAATTACCATTCATTACACCATTGCTGTTAGTGAAGTATCAGCTTAATTAGGTATGAGCCAAATTCCTTGCTGTGGCCTGCTAGTCAGAATATTCACTAAATATAGCACTACTGGGGCTGCAAATTGATTGTCCCTTCTGTCTTCACAGGGCAAGGAATAATAAAACATATGTTAGTAACTCCAGTAACTCCATTGTATAAATCCTTCTGCTGGCCAAAAAACCCTGTAGTTTTGGTTTTAATACTGAACTCCTTAAGCTTTTGAAATTACCTCCTGGAGTTTTATGGTAGTTCACAATATTACGTGCCCTGTCTGTGCAGAGGTTGATCTGAAAGTGTTAAGAAAATAAAGTGGCTTTCTCCATCTGATTTGTGTTGACACACCCGTCAGTAACAATTGCAAACTTTTGTAAAGTGTTATGATTTTGATTGTGAAAACTTTGATTCATACTTGAGGTTTATTCTAACCTTAACTACTTCTGTTTACTTTTTTCATGTTGGACCTCTTCAGAACTCTTAAATATAAGACTCTTGCCACAAGTAATTTTTTAAAAATGAGTTTCACTAATATCCTGTGGGTGGTGACCTATACTAGATTTTGTTATGCACATGATACTGTTTTTCCCCCCCTCTCTTGTGTCTGTTTAAAAGCAAGTGGTAATAAAGGAGAAAAACAGTACAGCAGCTCATGTTGTTACTACAATAAGGGCTGGGGAAGATGCTAACTAGCTGAGGTTGCCTGTGAAGTTTCCAGGATAATTCTGTTCTCACTATTTAAAAAAAAAAAAAAAATTAAAAATTGAGAACTCGGACATATAAATAGCATGTTGCATGGTGTTTTGAAATAATTATTTCAAGTCTGATTCTTCACTGAGAGAGTTTTAGTTTCAAAGTCCTGTTACTATCTCAGCTGACCGCCTTTCTTGAAATTCATGCATAAAAAAAATTAGGTAATTAGATCCCAAACTATATCAGACTTTTTAGACAGAATTTAATCTTAACCCTGTTTGAAAGCAGATGGGAAAACAATGTGGTGACAAGAGGACAGGTGCAGTGTGTACATGCCAGACTGCTTCAGAAAGGAAGCAAGCTGCTCTCTTCTTCACTAGCTCTAACACTTGCACTTTTAACACTCTCTAGCATACTAAAAACAAAACCCACAACTTTTTGGTTTTAACTTCACGCTTTTGTGTTACAGTGGCACCTTGATAATCTAAATAAAGGCAGAATCCTCTTGTTTCAGGCACTAAATATGGTTAAGGAAACAGACTCTGTCACAAAGAGAAAACAATTGAAAAAGATCAAAAAAAACCCCAAATTAACTATGCTAAAGGTAGTAGAAGTCTTTTAGAAAATAAATTGTTTATACTGCATTGTCACTTACATTTTTATGTTGTCTGTTTAGATATTTAGATTACAAAACTGAGATTTTAATTATTTGAGATCGTGCTTTGTCACCAAATACATACTAAGCATCCAAAAGATAAGGTGCCACATCTACGTAGGATGTTTTGATGATGTTCTATGAATGGTGATTAATTTAATTTTGGTTTTAATTTTGTAGGGAAGAATTACTAGGGATTGTCTCAAGTCAGATGAAAAGAGGAGGAATTGTTAGAATAAATAATAGTAGAGACAAAAAAAGGAAATAAGGTAAAAGAGAAGAGAGGCAGAATTGGAAGAATGGAGCTAGCCTACCACAGGATGGCTAAAATCCAGAATTCAGAAGATGATCAATATCAAAGATAATCCCATGGCAGGAACAGAGGGTAAACTACAGTGTCAGTACTGACCAAATGGTTTCATTAAAAAGTTATGACTCAAAATTAAGGTGAGTCAGATGAGTAAATTGACTGGTTAAAGTTCATCAACACAGGGATACCTTCCTTGTTCTACAGTATTCCTGGATGTTTACCCACAACATGCTTTATGTTTCCCATTTTTCTTACCACTTTTGTTGGACCAGCTGACCAGCCTACGAGTCCCTTGGCTGATCTTGTGGTCAGGAGTTGACACGTAGCATTGTCTCACAATTGACTGTTGCTTCTCGGCTTCCAAGGGCACCAAATAAAATGTGCTGATACTCAGGAGATGGTGGGTTAAAGGTGTGAATTGTGGCCACTGTGGTGTGTAGGCCTTCTCGAAAGAATTCTGCAGTCACATGCAAAGAGAGTGGAGAGAAGAGGAGGTTATTGACCTGGTGTCTAGACAAGTTCTCTAACTTGCAGATGAGCTGTCAGACGCTGGCTTAACTCTCAGTTAAAGCTGCTGTGCTTTTGAGAATGGAGAGAACACTGCTTGAAAACTTCTCTACTCTGGAGTCTCCATCTGGGATTATGCCTACCTGGTCTTTTACCAAAACTCATCTATCTGGGAAAAAAAAAAATACTCTTTTTTAGTTATAACAATGAATTGCAATGTAGAAAAAGATCAGTAACTGGTATTAAGCCTGTTGTTTTTAAGCTCCTTCCCATTACTCCTTTGTGATGGGCTGAGGTTGCTGGATCTGCTAAGCTTGGATGATGTTGACTATTGTAGGAGAAACTCTGTGCATTCTTCGATGTGTTGCAGGCCTGAACGCGATGCAGTTACAGAACCTGGCGGCGTTAGCGGCTGCGGCCAGCGCAGCGCAGAATACACCCAGCGGTACCGCTGCCCTCACGTCCTCCAGCAGTCCCCTGAGTGTGCTCACCAGCTCAGGTAAGAGGCTGCCTATGCTGGAGGAGTCACTTCAGGGTAACGTCACCTGTTTTGTCTATCCCTTTTTGGCACTTTTCGTATTGAGTCTTTAATAGATAAGGTGTTTTACTAGTAGATTCACTGGCCTTTATTTAGGGTAGATATCTTTGCTGCCAGCAAAGACTTTTTACCTGCTGTGTTCCTTCCTCCAATGGTCAGGTTAATTACGAGTGAAAAGAATTTTTGAGGTCGTTGTGAAGCAGAAAGGTAGGTGACCTCTTTCCAGTCTCGTTATTGAAATCTCATCACGTATTCGGTTTCTCTGTGATTTTAGGCAGGTACTGTGACAGATGTACCCTGCTCCTCTGGATGTGGAGAGAGAAGATGCCTTAAGCATCAGTAATGCATTCTGTGCACTACAACAGTGCAGTTTATATTCCTCTGGCATTAATGAAGAAAACTACCTCATAGAACTAGGATAAATAGACCCCTAGCACATTTACTGGAAAGCGATTGTCTAGAAGTGAGTGTATGAGTTGCACCTAAAAGTCAGTATCTTGCTCTTCTGGTTTGTTTTTTTTTGGGGTTTGGGTTGTTTTGTTTTGTTTTTTACTTTAGGTTATGTACGCTATCCAGAGAGGCTAGAATGTCCAGTAGTGTTCTTTTGCTGTCTTACTGTTAAATGTGATCATAAATGCGACAAAAAAGAAAACAAAAAATAAATTAAATTGTGCTTACATAAGACATGCTCAGTTTTTAACCACAAACGGGGTTATTTCTATCCTGTTTTCAGTTATTTCTAAATACTGACATGGGAAGGGAGACCCTGTCTTTTCAGGGTGTCAGTTTTCCAGCTTCTACAGTGTGGTATGTGGGTTTGGTGGTTGGTGGGTAGGGGTTTTTTTTGTTGTTTCTTATAAAAAGCCAAATTGCTTATCCAGTTTTGAAATCCAGCCTAGAGAGTTGACATCCTCACCAGTGATTGTGAGAGACCAAAGGGGGTTGGGGGTGTTTTAAATTTACACAGGTAGCTTTTTGTATTGTGTAGGAGGACCGAAGAGCTGGACCAAGAGATTATAAAGAGATTACAAGGAAAAGCTGTTTAGAAAACCTTATGCCCCAGGAGTTAAACCATGAGTGCTTTGCACAGTTTTCTACTTCAAGAAATCCCCCAGAAAGAATTCAGTTCAAAGAGTGTTCTGTTGCTGGACAGTTTTGGGGATTTTGCATGAAAACTTTGTGGTCTGCAATCCTTAAAGATTAAAATATCAAAATGTATCTTGACTCCCAGCTGTGGTATCATATTCTATAATTTTAAAAAAAAAAAGCAAAGAGTTGAGGCTATAGAAGAGCTGCATTTATAACCCTTTCTTCATCTTAGAGAAAGCGTGAAGGTGAATTTATCTGAGAATTTCTCCCATATTTCCTCACGCAGAAGCAGAGCTGGAATTGTCAGGTTACAGGTTGTTGTGACTGGTGTTTAGAACTAAGATTTCCTTGTTGGCTTTCTCATGTACTGACTGGAGCAAGTTTGTTCTCTGATTTGGTGAGGTGGGGAAAGAGGACTGGCAGGTTGTGAAGTTCACATGCCAGGCATGCTAGAAAAGACAGAGGCGGCCTCTTCTCAGAAGTGTACAGTAAAAGGACAAGGGCAACGGGCAAAAGTTGCAACAGAGAAAATTCTGACTGAGTATAAAAGAGAAATAAAATTAATGGTGAGAGTGATTAAGCTCAGGAACCAGGTGCTAGAGGGGCTGTGGAATCTCTGTTATTTCAGAGATTCAGGGTGCAGTTGTAAAGGACCCTGAACGGGCTGACCTAAGCCAGAGGTTAGACCAGCTCTGAGCAGACCATTAGACTAGATGATCCACAGGTGTCCCTTTCAACTGAAGTTATGCTGCAATTGTGTGATTCTTTGGGGTTGGTTTCCCCTCCATGAATGCTGGCTGTTCCACAGCACTCTGCAGATTCCTTTTCCTTTGGTGAGAGACGTACCTTGGGACTCTGTTCCACTGTTGATCATGCCGGTGGAGGGCTTAGGGGGTGGGACGCAGTCCAGTTTCAAGTACCTTCTGTGCTGAACCCAGTTTTCTGATTGCCAGTCATATCAATAAATGATTATGTGTCAACAATCAAGTAATCATAATGGGTCATTTGAATTAATATCCTATACAGGTGTATCACTTCGCTCTTCATAGGCTTGTAACATGAAGCTGTCACTACTGTATTGCTCTTGAAATTAATTTCAAGTATAATTTTAAAGAGTAGAGATTAGCTTTGTTCGAAAGAAATAAAAAGTTCTGGAGGATATGTGGTCTGTATGTTGTCACTGACATTAAATGCTGAAACAGTTTCAATGCTTGTCATTAGAGGTATGAATATGCTTCACCTTTTAAAACTGAACTTAAATTGCAGGGAGGGGAAGCCTCAATGTGTAGAGACAACATTCAATTTCATGGTCCTTCCTGTAACTATACAGCTTTTTAACGCTTTACTCTGAACTAGCAATTATCTCTTATAAAAGCAAACTTGAAATTCTCTTTTGGTTAATACTTACATGTGCGTTCACACGCTATGTATTCACATAGAAGGCTGTTGGACTACACACGTTCAGACATCCCTCCTGAACCATACCTAGACCTTGGAAACACTCAGTGTATAGCTGTTCAGTACCGTGTGTTAGTAAATGCCTGCCTTATCTGTGAGACATATGGCAACATCCTCTGTGAAAACCTCTTAAACCCAACTGCAGATGAGATGACTACCGGCTTGACTTCTGTCCATCTGTCATCCAAATGTTGACCTGATGCTCATTTGGACGTCTCTTCCACATTGTCCTCAAATTGTGTAATTGGTGGAAATATCCAGACAATCATTATGCGTAGTTACCATTTTGATTTTCTCTCATCTCCACTGATACCTTTTGTGTTTGGGGAACTTGAAAGTCCACACGGTGCTGAGTTGTGGACTGTGGACAGGTTACATGTCAGAATGGTTGAAATCAGAGGTGTTAAGTATTGTTGTTGTGCTGTCTTCCTGCTCATTTCAGGTGACTTTTTTTTGGTATTTCCAAGCACTATTATGTATTTTGGTGTAGAATAGGTTGGAGCAAAGCCTTCAACCTTGCAATAAAGCATCTACTCTTTGGAACTGAACAGTCTGCTGCTGTATCCATGTATAGGTAGTCCATGTTACAGAGACCATGGCCTTAGATAAACTTACTGGAACTAATGCTGGTACAGCTCAGTCAGATTCATTGTGTGAACTTTAGTGCTCATTGCTTGGATGCTAAATGACTGAATTAGAACAGACTTACTGTTCTCTTAGTTTACCTACCTCCACAAGTAGGTAGTTGATGTCCAAGTTGCTTTATTTTTCCTAGCTATTCTTTACTACATATCCAAATCTTCTGAAAACCTTATCAAGTATTTTCAGCTAGTTATCTTAGAATTAATTAACATTTTGACTAGATATAACTCAGTAGATAGATCTAAGAAAATATAACCTCAGTAGCAGGCAAAAAAACCCACCAACCCACCAAAAACTGCACAGAAACAATGTTTAGAAGTAGGGATGAAGTAAAGAACATGTATAAAGCTGTATTGGTTTTCGTGGACCTGGCAGGGGGGTTGGACTAGATGATCTCCGAAGGTCCCTTCCAACCCCATGTGATTCTGTGATACTGTGTGCTGTTTTCTGGTCTAAAATAACACACAAAAACCAGAAGTACAGAAAGGATCACTAGAACTGTGGAACACTTTCCCTATTAAGAGCAATGAGAGAGCCTGAAAAAATAGAAGACTGATGTGGGAGGAGGACATAGAATCATAGAATTGCCTCGGTTGGAAGGGACCTTTCAGATCATTGAGTCCAACCATCAACCTAACACTGAGAAAAAAAATCACTAAACCATATCTCTAAGCACCACGTCTACCTGTCTTTTAAATACCTCCAGGGATGGTGACTCAACCACTTCCATAGGCAGCCTGTTCCAATGCTTAACTACCCTTTCAGTGTAAAAATTTTTCCAAAGATCCAATATAAACCTCTGCGGCACAACTTGGGGCTGTTTCCTCTTGTCCTATCACCTGCTACCTGGGAGAAGAGACCAAACTTTCCCCCCCGCCATGGCTACACCCTCCTTTCAGGGACTTGTAGAGAGTGAGAAGGTCTCCCCTCAGCCTCCTTTTCTCCAGGCTGAACACCCCCAGCTCCCTCAGCTGCTCCTCATGAGGCTCGTTCTTCACACCCCTCACCAGCTATATGATTGAAGCCTACAAATATATTAGTGTTGCCATGTAGACAACACTTTCCCCCCTGCCATCACTGCACCCTCCTTTCAGGGAGTTGGAGAGAGCAAGAAGGTCTCCCCTCAGCCTCCTTTTCTCCAGGCTGAACACCCCCAGCTCCCTCAGCTGCTCCTCATGAGGCTCGTTCTTCACACCCCTCACCAGCTATATGATTGAAGCCTACAAATATATTAGTGTTGCCATGTAGACAAATAGGGGAAAAAGCAGTTGTTAGATATTTCTTGGCAGGAATTACAGGATATCAGGTGAAGTTGTCAGCTGACAGTTCCAAAATAAAAAGTGCTATTTCTTTGCATGGTGCATGTTTAAATTGCAGAACTCATGCCTTAGAGCATGGTAAAGTCAAACAATTCAGTGTTCAAAGTGCACTGAAATTAGTGAATGAAATTCGTAACTTTAATACAAAGACATTGCCCTTGGCTGAAAAACCCCTGGATTTGCAAATTGCTCCATTTTTGGTGTATAGACTATATGCACCAACTACATATACAATTACCTTGTAATTGCCCTGTATTTCTGCTCTATTGTTATTTGTCTGCCTGTAGTCATCAGAAATGGGATGCTGACTCAGTACAGCAATTCCTATATACTTATGATAAAGAAAATAAACCAAACTGTTAAATTTTTGTGGCACTTTCAGTACTAAAACATTTCTTGTTTTGCTTAAAGAGATTTCTGAAAAAGTCAGCTGAACTAAAATAACTGTGGTCAGCTTTTTGTAGTGGTTTAAATGAATTTGTTTAAAATCACAGGCTTTTAAAAGTAGGGGGGGGGCATCCGTTGTCTCTTTTACTTGGCTCTCTATCCTTGGCTTCATTCTCTTTTTTCCCATACCACTGCTATTTTATTGTGGTTTGGTTTTTTTTAATGGTGTTCTCATCTGTCAAATGTAGTGGTGTTTTGAATTACGTAGATTAGCAACAAAGTGTTGCAGAAACAAGTGATTTTTTGAATGCTGCCTTTTATTCAGCCAGCTATACTGGTTTTTTTCTACCAACTTGAGGGTTATACTGTAACTTCTTCTCTGTGTTTTTCCAAGATTCAATATACTACTGATAATAAGACAGAAGTGTCTCCTTTTCCTCAGAGTAAAGCATCTTAACATACAGTTTGGGACACGGTTGTTCAATTTCTGACTTGCTAAAAGGATTTGTCTAGAACTTTTCTTAGGGGAGGTTTGTCATTTCCTCTGTCCATATAAAATCTAAACAGTGGTGGGCAGTGCAGCTCCCTGGGTTCTCTTGCAGCTTGTGTTAGGTACAACTGCTTTTGTCAGGTACAGCTTTTGCTGGGGCTTGTTAAGCAAGTGTATCCCATGGAAATAGTTATCATACTGCATTCCATCAGAGACTTTGTGCCATATATGTGAAGTGGGCAATATGTAGTTTGTGTGAATCTCCTTGAAAGATGCTAACAATTCTTTTAAAAGTTTTAGTGGATGTACACAGCATAACTGAGAATCACAAAACCACAAAGGAAACTGAAAATGCCTGAATTTCAGTTCTTCTGTTACCCACTTGGTCAGAGAGATAAATTCCTCATGAAAGCAGACTACAAGATGCCTCTACAGCACCAGTCTTTAATATCTTTTAACTTGTAGAACCCATAAATATTTTCCAGTGCATTTTGTGCAGTAAGCTTAAACTTCTGGATTAATAACAATACGCATAGATTTTCTTATTTACCTTCTTCAGATTTCTAAGCAGTCCACAAAGCTGTTAGGAAAACCATCGCTATGTAATCATAAAAATACTACTCTTATTTTATCAAGTCCATAAATCTTGGTAGAATACCTTAATTTGAACCACTGTTTCTTTTGATATACCAGCTTCCCAAAGTTTTTTTTCTTGTGGTTTGGATGTCTCTTTCTGTAGAACAAACTACCTGTTGTAGAATTTGGCAGGGCTAGGTACTGTATTGTGGACTTCTCTTACTGGGTAAACATGGTGGAAGATGTCAGTGGCACAGTCAACCGAGGATAAACAATCTATTTTTGATGTAAATTCCAGGACTGTTCTTGGCCCTAGCCCAAGCTGCTGCAATGGGATTTTTCATGGAAAATCATTTCTTATGTCAGAATAATCTGGGCATCTGCTGTTCCTGTTCTGGCAGTATGGGAAAACCATATGTTCAGTTTGACTGGAACTTTCTTTAACGTCCCTAGTATCTGTGGTTTGGGTCTCTTTCACCTTGTGTGATGTTTCAAGGATGGATGTTAATGCGTAATGATTATTACACAGTTTAGGCAGCAGGAAACGGGCACTGCTGCTGGTCACCTTATGTTGACGTACAGAGTTTAGCAAACATTTGTATATTATCTGAATCTTAGGTGTCTTACACTTAGTGAAATTATTATTGCTACAAAGAGTAGATGTTATAATGAAGTAGTAGAAATTTGTCAAAAATATAGGAAGGGTTTAGAATATATAAGTAGTATGATCAATCAAGTTGTGTGGGTTTGGGATTTATTATTTTTTTTTTGACATAAAGTATGCTGTGTTGCTTTGAGCGGCTCCTTACTAGCCTTTTCTAAAGAAATAGCTGTGTTGCTTTGATCGGCTCCTTACTAGCCTTTTCTAAAGAAATAACTACATGAAGAAGTTGAATTACTGCTTGAAGTTTAATTATCTTATTTTAATAGCAGGTTCCTCACCTAGCTCCAGTAGCAGCTCCTCTGTTAATCCAATGGCTTCTCTTGGAGCACTGCAGACACTGGCGGGGGCTACAGCAGGCCTCAACGTTAGCTCTTTAGCAGGTAAGCTATGTGTTGTGGGTTGGGGGAATAGCTAATTATCATTCCTCAGGCTGTGCTACTTTTGTGGGGGCTTTTACCTGCTTGAAAGGTACTTGATCTGGCTCAGTGGAAGTACTCAGTCATCTTTATTTTCTCTTCCTTATACAGGAATGGCAGCCTTAAATGGAGGACTTGGCAGTGGTGGTCTCTCAAATGGGACAGGTAGCACAATGGAAGCCCTCACGCAGGCTTATTCTGGAATCCAGCAATATGCTGCTGCTGCATTGCCCACACTCTATAACCAGAGTCTCTTAACACAGCAGAGTATTGGTGCAGCAGGAAGTCAAAAAGAAGGTAGGGAGAAAGTTGTAGAAACAACTTGAGAAGGGTTTTCAAAAGGGCAAGCCCAGCCCTTGTAGCTACCTTATCTCCAGAGCATTTATTTGGCATTTTTTAGAATCCTAGAGTTACTGAAGATAAAGAAGGAAAACCTGGGAGGCCTCTCTGTTAAGGGCAGTCCAAAGTAGTTTATATACAGAAGGGTTCTCCCAGGATTTGTCTAGTCTTAAATGCTTAGCAATAGTACTCCGACATCTTCTTGGAGAACAGGAGTGTATGAATCTGCAGCCTGATACATCCCACTGTCAGGGAATCAGTTTTTGATTTTGTTAATTTTGCTTTCTTGGTCCTTCACTTCTTCCCACAGACACTTAATGCCAATCTCTTCACTCTATTCAGAATCAATGTAATGTGCAGTGTAATGGAGAATGTAAATATTCAGCAGAATGTAGGATAATATTTAGAAAATAATCTGTCGGATTTCAAGTAATGTATTTTGTACTGAGATTTATTTAGTTTCTTTGGGCTGTGAGCTTTGCATAGCCATTTTTGGTTTAGTCAGCATCTGGAGCTCAAATTTACTGTTCAGCTTTCATTGCAGCAAAGATCTGTGAACCAGTTTTGGTACAATGTGGAAATTACGAGCCAAAATACTGAGAAAGAGCTAGAATTATTTGAATGATCAGAACCAGCAAAGGGTCATGCTGATTTATTCTGGAATCAAGTACTCCACAGAAGTGTAAACAGCAGTTTCATTGTTTTATCTAGAAAATTTGGCTTGACTGGCTCTTTCACCTTTTTTTGTGGAGTGAGCCTGTTTTATCCGTGCTCTTTCTGAATTTATATTCCTATTTGTGGTTTGAAGGTCCAGAGGGAGCCAATCTGTTTATCTACCACCTCCCCCAGGAGTTTGGGGATCAGGATCTGCTGCAGATGTTCATGCCATTTGGAAACGTCGTCTCTGCCAAGGTTTTCATTGACAAGCAGACCAATCTAAGCAAGTGTTTTGGTACGTTGGGTCTAATTGTTACCTGCAGAAAGGTGGCTTCTCTCTAGTAATCTCTTTTCAAGTGTACTGTCTAGTCTAGCTTTTAAGTCGAGTAGTGACTACTTCTCTATATTCCTAAAAAATAAATCAATCAATCTGAACTATTCTAGTAATGAACTGTATTTTCCTGATTTTTCATTTTGACTTTTTGCTTTTCCTAATTTCATAATATTATTATGCTTCATTATACTGTTTTGGCCCTAGATAATTCACTATGATTCATGTTTGCAGACCGTAATCTTGGTATAGTTCCTCCTCTTCCCCCTTTCTGTCTTTTCACTAATTGTTTACGTCGCTGTATATACTACTTATTACATTACCATTATGAGTGACTTCTATTAATATTTTTATATACAATTATTATGACTAGCATATAGTACAGGAGCATTTGTCTCTGGTATTTTGTAAATGCTCTGAAGGCAGTTTTTAAAGCCTCCCCCTAATTCTTGAAAACTTTGTAATAGCAAAACCATTTCAGCTTTGGTTGTATGTGCTCTGCTTACTGTGTGTTTAGATGAGGAGACACATCAGGGTGGGAAGTGTATCTTAAAACTGTACATCAACCTGTTGTGCTACTGTTGCTATCCAGATAGATTATTTTCAGTTAACTGCTCAAGTCTGTGATGCCAAAAGAGCAAAGAATGTATTCTTACTTGGCTGTGCATGTGGACTGAAAGATTCATGGTTTTATTTTCCCCCCATGGAAGCCCCAGTGCAAGCAGTTGTAGCATTTTTGTAGTACTGTGTGCTCTGGTGACTCTTGATAGATGGAGATTTCATGTGATGAAATAGAAGAGGCAAGCCTCTCTCTATGGTTTTGATAGTTTTGTTGCCTACATAATATCCTGTATTTTTTAGCATTTGAGCCAAAAGATGTGGACAGTCTAATGCTTTATGAAAACACAAAAATATGCTGAGGGTCAGACTGTAACACCTGCATATGGAATGATCTCCCCAAGCAGTAACGCCAGCCATTGACTGGAGTTATTTAAAATGGGCTCCTTCAAAACCCTGCAGAAGTTTTAGGATGTTATTTCATCCAAGAGAAACTTGGATGAAACATAATAGTGCCACACTGCCTCGACAGCTCCTTCACCCCAAACAAATCTACTCCCAGAATGCCAAGAGGGTGATTTCAGCCTTTTATCTTTAATGAGTTTTCATATATAGATTAACACTTTCCCGGTTTGGTTTTCTCTTAGGTTTGAGTTCTTATAAAACAAAGAGCAGTACTCACTTTTGTTGGCAGACTAGAGAATGTTATTTTCATTTCCTGAGCTTTGTATATCAAAGTTCCATACGTCAGAAAGCAATTGCTTTGTCTGAGAGCCCTTAGTAAGAAGTTTTTATGAAGAGTCTAAAACAGTTGTGAGCTTCTGAAAATGGCATTCCATGCAAGCCTCTTCTACCTTGTGAGTACCTGCATTTCCAGTTGTGAGTAGCTGTTCCTCACAGCTTTGGCGTGGTGTAATTCTCTCTTTTCCTTTCTTCAGGTTTTGTAAGTTACGACAATCCTGTGTCTGCACAGGCTGCCATTCAGTCAATGAACGGCTTTCAGATCGGCATGAAGCGTCTGAAAGTACAGCTCAAGCGCTCTAAGAATGACAGCAAGCCATACTGAGCGCCCCTCCCCTCCGGGACTGGAGTGAGAAGGATCTTCTGGTAAGTTGGAGAGGAGCGCACTTAGTCATTCGAAGCCCTAAGGCTGTGTTTTTACAGTCCTGGAAGCTGATCCATGCCTTCTATCTGGCACATCTTCCCCTGAAGACTCGGCTGCAGCCTCTGCTGAGAATCCCGCTTCGGATGGAGGACAAGTTTGTGCTTTTGTTTCCAGTGTTTTACTTTGGAGTTTAGGTGCCATATCGCTGAGGTGTTTTTTTTCTTTTTTTTTTTCTTTTTATTTTTTTTTTTCTCCCTTATTTGAAGTTTGCTGTGTTTGTAACCAGTGTGTGTTGAGAAGGACCAATGCCAGCTCCTTGCGGGTGGGGAGGGAAGGTTAAAGGGAGAAGCAGAAACAGCCACCACACTGCCTTGGGGTAGAGAGAAGGGGAACAGGAACTGACACCACACCACCATGGGGGAGAGGAGAAGGGAAAGCAGAAATAACACAGAACAGCTGATGACAACAAAGATGGGGAAGGAAAACTGAGTCCATCAAAGTCTGGGTGAGCAAATAACTCGCTAGCCTTTGTCGTGCCCCATCCACTCTTTAAAATATCCTTAACTGTATGTCATGGTGGGGATTTAGCAAATCATCTCTAAAGCAGGAGACAGGCTAGAAGGGTGAAGATATTAGCAAGCCAAAGGAAAACTGCAGTGATTTTTTCTTTCTCTGTATATAAAGTAGTGTTTATATAGCACTGTGAATGTACACAGCACTTTATAAAATTATTACATAGTGTCCCCGCCCAGAAAATTTCACTGTCCATTTAGAGTTGAATATTAATGAGATGCAGTGAATTTCTCCATATTTAAGAAAACTTATCCTTATGTACTTTATCAAGGTTTTGTAGAAAGGCATAGAGAGAGACAGCTTAGTCTGGACGAATACATCTGGAGCTGGAAACAAGTAACTTTTGATCCCTGGTAACCTGCAGATTTTTTTGGACAATTTATCTTCTTAACAGTTCATCACATTCCCCATTTCTGTGGAATAATGTCCTTTTTGCCGAGTATGACTTTGAATTCATTCAGATACACGCAATGTAAGTGCTGTTTGTTTCTCTATTAAAAAGACTGTTAAATTGAGATACAAAGCCCAGAGATACCCTAACACAGCTCTTGAGGCTCCCGTTTCATACGTGTTCTCAAAGGATTTGATTGCTCAGTCTTAACTCTGTTGCAAAAATAACTTCCTGGGTTTGTTTTTTTTAAAAAAACAAACCACAAAACAATTTGTGCGGTGATTTGGTCTAGTAATTAGGTATTTCTTTATACTGCAGTTTTCCTTTAAGGTGGTGTGTATCGGCGCAAAACAGGCCAACAGAGGAGCTGTGGAACCAGAGCAGAGCATTGAGCCATTCAGTCTTATTCTGTCTTTTTGGTACTAGCTGTTGTCTTCTATATTGAAGGAAAATTGAACACACCCCTTCAATGAACACACATTTTTTTTCTGCACACTTGTGAAATTGCTAATGCATCGCTAGGGGCCTTTGTTATACACTGGTTTTAGGGGGCTCAAAGGACTTTTGACACTCTGGCCTGAGTTGTTGTAAGAAATCAGAGTCCCGTTTTATAACCACCAAAATCCACCTCTGTCACAAGAGGAAGTTTACAATTTCTGTGCGTCTTTAACAGAAGTTCCATTTACCTCATATTTTCTCCTTTTTTTCCTTGTTTTCTTTGTATTCCTGGTTTGTGATGCTGTTTCCCAGGGTGCCAGCTAACACTCCAGTCTGGGAGCCAGCTGCTGAGTAATGAGTGTGTGGGTCAGACACAGGGTTGGGACTTTCTGTTCTGCTCCAGCAGGAGGAGCACAAAACCCATCAAACCTGAGGTCACGTTCAGGATCTCCACCCATGAGCAGTTGTCTTCTGAGGATACCAGGTGTTCCCAGGGACTGGTTCCCCTGGGATCTCAAACCTCAGAAGCACAAGGCCTGACCCATAGGATCCAAGAAGAGCCCTTTCCATTCTTAAATTGAAAAATCAAACAGTTAGTTAATGCCAGTCTGTCTATATTGATGGCAGGCAGGTAAATCCATCAGTATTATTCACATCATTTTGTGGTGGCAAAGGTTCAAAGGCCAGATTGCCAAATTTCCCAGTTATGCTGGCATGTGGTACCCTTCTATGTTAATTATTTGAATCTCTCTAGAAACGTAAACATACACTTAAGTGAACCATGTACACTTGAATTCTGCACGATGGGAAAGATGTGTCCTGGTTTTCTGAGAAAAGAGTGTTGGAGTGTGAAGGCCTCCAGGGTGATAATGGGATTTTTTTTTTATATATATATAAATAATATACTTTTCAAAAAAAGAAAAAAAAAAAAAAAAAAGAAAAAAAAATAGTTGGGAGCAACTGCTCCAAGTGCAACCTGCTGTAACCAAGAATGTTGTTTCTATTTTTATAGAAGTTTTATACCGCTCCAGGGTGGAGAATATTTATTACCTAAATTATTTCACTGGAAAAAAAAAAAAAAAAGGCCAGGGTTTTGTAGAATCCTGAATGTGATTGTTTTACACACATAATGATGTGCATGATTGAAACTACTGATTTTCAGTGGCCTGTTTGCAGCCCAGCAACTGCTAAATGGGGAAGACGAACGCTGTGAACCAGTGGAGGAGAGCACTGCGCTCTGGGGTCTCTACAGTCACTCTTACCTTCTTTGCACCCTACCCTACTGTACTATCTGAGACCTTTGTCCTGTTTTTTTTCTTTTAACCTGATGCTCTGGCCCCTTTACTAGTCATTTCCGTTGCCCAAAATTAGGTATTTTAGTCTTTGCATCCTATAGTGTGTCCTCAGTACTGTAACTTCTGGATCAAGCTCGGCGTTGTTGCAAATGGGTGCAACTCCTATGGACTTTAGGAGATTCACCAGTTTACACCGTGGCTTAGTTTGATCAGTGACTCCTCCCGGACATAATCACCGTAAGACACCTCACTTGGGCTAGCTCTTGTGCCTTACTGGCATAACTTTAAGTATTGCCAAAAATAAAAATAAAATTAAAAAAAAGAAATCTATGCAGGTTAAATTTTAGAAGATGTGATCCTCAGATGGTTTGAATCGATGCAGTTCTGCTCTCTTCAGTAGAGTTGCATCAGTTTTCACCAGCTGAAGATGTTGCCCTTTTTGTGTATTTGTTTCAGATTTCCCTTTCTTGGTGTATGGATGTATATGTTGCCAAAGTTAATAAATGTATCAAGTTTGTGACTTGGGCAGATTTTTTTTTTTTTTTTTTTTTTCTGATAAAAGAACTGATCAGATAAAGTCACCATTTCTGTGTCTGGTGGCTGACGCTGACTTTGGAGATCTCGGCTCTTCTTGCCTTCCAGTCTTAAGCCAGTTTTCTTCTTCACTCATTGGCAGGGAAGTCTGGGATTTTTGGGGACTTGGGGTTTTTAAATTTTATTTTATTTTAAATTCCTATCATGCTCTCATTTAAGCACAAATCAGATCAGTGTCAAAAGCTTTATTTCCTGGATAGGATAGTAGGATAAGACTTGGGTGAGTTCAAATAAACTGCGGAAGGATTGGCTTAAGTAGCCACAGGGACAAAGTATTATGTATGCTCATAAACCAAAGAATCGGAATTTTCTGCAACAAAAACTAATAGGATTCCTGATGAAATGGAATTCCATATTACATGTGCCACCAGAAAGTACTTAAATATTTTTAGAAACAAGATGGAAACAGTCTACTTCATAAATTTATGTTTTTCTTGGACGACATTTGATTTTTCTGGATATGCCATAATAAGATGGAAGTATTATGAACAATTGATGTCTTAGTCTGATGGTAGTTAGGATTGAGTACTATAGTAAATTAAATCAAAGATTCTGCAGTCCTCTAGATGATTAACAGTCCAAAACAGGGTATCTCTTTGTAGTTTAGGTTTTTTCTTCCAGTAATACAACACTTGCATTATTAGAAAATGCCTTTGAGATATAGCGATTAACTTTTAATCCTGAGAAGAATAAGGATTGGAATTTTTCAAAAGTATCTGAGACAATGGTGGTGAATACCTCCTTATATTTCAATGGTGAGGCAGTTTACCAGCTGTGGGCAATACTATCTGGAAAACAGGCATCTCAAAAAATTTCTCCCTAGCAAACACATCTATAAGGAAAAAGCTTTTCATATGAATACTGAAAGTCACGTAACATGATAGATTGTTGCATGATAGAATGAGCTGAAGTGTTTCTTGTTAATGGTTGTGAGTTAGGGAAGAACAGCCAAGCAGAATGAAATTGTTCCTATTTCATTTGGAAATATCTAAAATCAACTTGGATAAAGCAAATTGCAAATGAAGAGTGCAACGATGAACGTATAAAGTGCTTTGAGAGCTTCTTGTTGCAAACGTTTAAACACAAGGATGTTCTATATCGCTGAGCATACGTACCACAAAATGTAAAGTACAGAAGACAGAATTAACACAGTTTTGAGAATAAAACAAGGACAAACTGGAATAACTTTCCCCAAGTCATTAAGTTCTTAATCCAGCATCCTAGACTCTGCTCTTGTAGGCCGGTCCTTCCTCATGGCTTTAATGAAACTTAATCTTTCCCCTCAAAATTGCAGAGTGAAATATTTGAAAAATCTCCATCAAAAAAAACCCCAAACACATCACACAAAGAATTTCTGTGGTGGATGCTTAGATGCCCCTTGATTTCATGCCTCTTGTTGTTCCTCATGCCTCAGTTCATGATGAATTTGCCTCTGGTTAAGGACTGAAACCTTACAGCTATCTGCAAACTATCTAGAGTATGTCTAGAACTATGGAAATAACTGCAAGAGTTGCACCGTACTCTGTTTGCTGGAGTTTAAACCAACTCCAAACTAAGTCCTTTCCCTGAATTGGAAAGTATGAAGAGCAAATTAGTTTCAGCAGATCTAGTCAGTGGAGTGTTGCAGCTTTAGTGGACAACGAGCTGCTTGTTGCTTTGGAACTAGAATGCAATACTTGCTATTCTTAAACATGCTATAAATGCTATAAGGTAATGTGTAAGTCTCACCTTGCTCTAGTCTCTAACCAGCAGCTTTGAGATGTGCTGAAGAATAAGGCCACAAACAGGACATCAAGGGTAGGGCTTGAGGGGTGGGGAGGGGGGAAGAAAGAAGGAAAAACTTGCTTCCTCTCTCCCCTACATCCCACAGTCTTCCCCAAAATGTTCTCTTGCAGTTCACAAGCTGAGGGGAGGACACAAAGGTATTTATATCACTTAATATAATCATTATTTTTTTATAAACTCTTCAAGAAAGCTTCAGGAAACACTTTTTTTTTTTTTTTTTTTTTTAACTCATCAAACTGGCAACAGTGACTGTAGAGCTTCTCAGAGTCCAGAATCCCCTCCTCATGATGTCAGGGAGCTGGGGGCTGTTTTATATAAGGGTTGGGAACGGAAAATCCCCTGTGCAGGTCTAATGGTATTGGAAAGTGCTCAGCTAGGACAAGTCTTAACTTGCAGTCAAGTCTTAAGGAATTCTCTAATGTGTGGAGTTTTTGTCTTGTATAATCTCTTTTTTTTGTTTTGTTTTGTTTTGGTTTTTTTTCCACCCCCCCATTCCAAATCACCTACCCCCAGTTTCATGGGCTCCTAGGGAATGAGAAGGGACTGTAGCTGAAGGAAAGAACATGGATTTCCTGGGCTACCACTGCCTAAGAACTTCCCATGTTAGGATGCAAGAAAAGTCTCAGCCGTCAAACCACCTGTGAATCCCTTGTGTCCTCTGTCTTGTCTCTCATGGTCTCAGTCTCTTTGGGCAAATGTTAGCCCTGGAGCCATATTTTTCGGTGTGGTTCTCCTGGGGGAGGGAGCTCGCTCTGTTCTTCTCCTAAACAGAGCTAGTGGAGACACTGGGCATGGGGCAGGGTGAGTGCATGCTCATCAATGTGTCACTAGGCTGTGGAGTGCTCCACAGACTGGGTGGTGAGAGGGAAATCCAGGCCTCTGCTTCCATTTGGTTTCTGGCAGTTTGATGTTTACTCGGTGTCCTTCATGTACTTCGACTTTTACTTGTCCATCGTTGGCATGTGCTGCCCTTCCTTGTCACCTCCCTTCCCCAGGAGATCTCATTGTACAGTGCCCATTCTTGTTCTCTCTCTCCGTGTTTGGATGTACTGCTCTGTGTAACTCAGTGGGTCTCCCTCTTTCTGGTTTGTTTTTTTTCTAGATTCCTGCCGTTTGTTCATCGTTGTGCCTAAAGCATGTCGATGTGGCGTTCAAGTACATCGTCCAAATCCTTGTCTCTTCAGCTTCTCTGATGCTTGAACTCTCACCTTTGACCTTGTGTTGACCTTTGATGCTGATGTGTATTTTTATTACGTTTGTTTCTTTCTTTTTTTTTTTTTCTTTTGTGCTGCCAAATTGGTTTTGCTAGAAAGACTGCTGAAGGGGAATATTTAAATTTGCATTTGAATATAAAAGAATTTCTATTTTTCTAGACCTTCGTAAGATAACCACTTGATTTTGTGAATCTGATTCTTTGTAATTGTCTTCAGAGCAGCCTTGCTAGCATACCTTGTGGAGTATTTGTATTTCTGTGAACATACAGCCAATCACTTTCTAGGCTTAGTTTTTTCTGTGTGCTTAGTTTTAAAAACACAGTTTTGAAGAAAAAAAAAAAAAAGTCAATTATATGGTGTGACTCAATCTTTCAGGAGACTTTCTAGTCACATTTTGCTGATCTGGTTTCTGTGCTTGAGGAGACAGCATGTGTTTTTATGAGTTCAAACTTGTGACTTGAGTGGCATCAACAGACAACACTTGAACTACATTTTCTTCTGATTGTAGCTACATTTTTGCCCTGACATTTATTGATTTTTTTTATTATTATTATTATTAATTTTAAATTTTTTCCCCTGCTTCCCTGTGCGATTATCAGTCTGCAGTGAAAATTTGATCAAAGTTGATGTTGTATTTTGTTAAGCTCCAGCATGCTTGGTTTTTTTGTAACTACAATCTCCTCAGCAAAATGTGATGTTTTTGTTTTAATCTTTCAAACTTAAGATAGTGCCCAGAAATGTTTTGCATGTTTCCTGCTGTTTTCTTCACACCCTCGTATATATCACCTTCACCTCTCTGTTTTCTATAGTTTGTGCAAAAACTGAGCAATTTAATGGGTTTTAAAGGTATCCTTTAAATTGGTGTTTCTGGTATGACAAATCTCTGATGAGAAGCCTCCTGAGGGCATCTACCTGTGCACTTAGACTGTCTGCCTGACAGAGCACCTGGACCTCGTGCCATCTCCAGTGCTGTCAGAGGCTCCCAGGGGGCTGGCTTGCACTCTTCCCCTAGCGGAAGTTTGGGTGGAAGGGGGATAGCTGGGGAGCAGGAAGGTGGGGGGGAAACTTCACGGCATTACCCTTTCCAAAGTTACCTGGAGCTAGGGCTCCTTTGAAACACTCTTTATGAGCATTTTGTATCATTCAGGGCACGTTTTTGTGAAGTCCGGCCCCAGTTTAATACCATCAGTCAGGCCTCGGTGGCAGGATCCTTGAAGGATCTAGGTTAGCTCTTTAAATCAAGTGTTTGAGATATCCCAGAGAAAGCATTTGTAAACCTGGTCCTACAACTGCTGGCTCTTTTCCCAAGTGACAAGCACAATACAACAGCCTCTGAAGCTGTTACCTGAACAGGGTACCATCCCCAGCTCTCTTCTCAAGGGCCTTAGCTGGGGAATCTCTACGGAGATTTTTTAGTTTTTGTTTAGTTTTTAATTGGGTAATGAGCTGAGCAGGATTATTATTTTTCTTTTTTTGGCTTGCAGGGTGAACTCGAACAGGTTACTGCTTTCTGGGTAGCAGGCTTCCCCCCTGCCCTATGTACCATCCGCACAGGTAGAAACTGGGATGTAGCATCTAGAGGAAGGCGCCTGAAGAGCGTGTGCTGTGATGAAGTTTCAGTCAGAGGAGGAGCAAGCTAGTGTAGGTGTCTTCATAGTAGAAAATAATGTGAAACGAAATCCTGAGAGAAGGGGTTTTGCTAAGGAAAACAAATCGTGTCTGGATAGAAATCTTAAAGAGAAGGGTTTTTGCTGAGAAAACAAATCGTGTCTGGATAGAAATCTTAACTTTTGTCCAGTGTTTGGGATAATGCAAAGATGCAAGAGGATTTTTTTTTCTATCCTGTTCCTGAGTTGGCTGAGGATACTGTATTCTCAGTAGATATTGGCTAGGCTTGTGTAGGCAGTCCTTCAGCTGCTTCTAAGACAGAAGATGTTTGGATATGGTGCAGATACCTGGGAGTGAGAAGCGAGGCTGGATGAAAAAAAAAGGATAGACACTTGTTTCTTGGGGTAGGGTTGTGGGCTGGCTGCTGTTAGTCCCACAGTCTGAATGCACAGGGCTGTGTGTCAGTGGGGGGCACTGATGCCCTGCAGTGTGTTGAGCAACTGCTATAATACCTTTCTCTACACGCGCATTTGGTTCCATAAGGAACTTTGGGGAAACCTGTGGAAAAATATCTGAAGAAAACCAAAATGCCAAACGTTGGATGTTTCTTTCCTTTCTTCTTTCCTTTTCTTCCTTTGGTTGTTTTAATTGTTCTGTGGTGGTTTTAATGGATTTGAGACAGTGGAGCAGCAGCTGCCTTTCTGATTTTTGGCTGCTTTTTGTGAATAATTTAAAAAGAAAATTTACATTTTGGAGACAAACCTGTGGGCTTTTTTATTGGTACAAACATTGTATTTAACACTAGGGGTTTTGTACAGTTTTTTGCCTTTTCTACTAGAAAACAATGTAAAGTGATTCACAATGTGACGAGAAAACAAATTGCCACTATGACCAAATGTAGAGTCTGTTCTGCAGTAACGGGATTTAATCAACTCGAAGTCGTGGTTCAGTCGTAGAAATGCTTTTCTTTACCTTGTTTGAGCTGTTCCTTTTTTTTTTTTCTTGTTTTGATTTGCAAAACAAAATGTCTTTTTGTGTGAAATTGTGTTGTACTCTGTAGAGAATTATGGATTTTACTTTAATGGTTTAAAAAGCGGAGGAGCACGTGTTGCTTTTCTGATCTGATCGCAGAGTTTGTGTAGTGGATTTAAAAATTAAAAGATTTGTTACAAGTTTGGAACGAGCGAGTATGTGTTAAAGGAATTTTCTTCCTTTTGTGTGTGTGTTTATTTTTTTTTTCTTTTTGTCCCAAAGGGCAACTTAAAGCTGTTTTAATTGCACAGACACAACAACAACAAGTCATTTTGTATATGCCAAGTGTGGTACCTTCCTTTGTTTATTTGCTATTAAACTGTTTGAGAAGAGTCCTTGTGTGTTCTATTTGTGTCTTAAACTTGAGGTTCTTTTTGGATCCAAGTGTGCGAAGAGGAGGAGAGAGACTGGAGAAACCTTCTAGTTTCTTAGCTGTGAGCCACAAAAATTTTCATGGCCCGATACCACTTGTTCTGGATGTACAATATAGCCCTGGATTTTTACCTCTGTGTAGATGAGCTACTTTGAGTGGAAATGCAAAAAGGTTGTTTTGTTGTTGTTGTTTATCATTTGGCAGTCAAGTCCCCTTCAGACATTAGATACAGAAAAGCTGAGAATCTTGGATAATGCAAATAAGTGATACACTGGGTAGTGAGGTGTAGGCGTATCCAGCCTCATAGAACTGGTGCTGTGTAGCCACTTGCCTGTCCGTGCACTGTGCTTTGTGGTGTTTCAGGAGCTAAATAACTTCGGCATAACACCAGACTTCAGCTATATCTTCAGCTGACACCAGCGTTGCATGGTGGTGTGGGGGATTCAGTAGACATTAGATAGCTCAGACTGCTCCGGCGAGCCCCGTACCTGCCACTGCGTCCTTACCCCTTCCAGGAACACGGCCAAGCTCACTGAACCTGTCCTGGTTCTTCAACGTGAAGGTATCTGCAGTCCCCAGTGCCTCCTGGTCCTGGAAATACTACATGGAGAGACTCGGAATGGGTTGGGATTCATTAGTAGTCGGCATAACACCAGACTTCAGCTATATCTTCAGCTGACACCAGCGTTGCATGGTGGTGTGGGGGATTCAGTAGACATTAGATAGCTCAGACTGCTCCGGCGAGCCCCGTACCTGCCACTGCATCCTTACCCCTTCCAGGAACACGGCCAAGCTCACTGAACCTGTCCTGGTTCTTCAACGTGAAGGTATCTGCAGTCCCAAGTGCCTCCTGGTCCTGGAAATACTACACCGAGAGACTCGGAATGGGTTGGGATTCATTAGTAGCTCGGGTTTTGTGATAAGTGAAAGTTACACACTTTGCTTTTGGGACTCCGATATGTTAATCATTTGAAATAAAATTCAGCTGTAAAAAAAAAAATAATAATAATAATAAATGGGTGTAGGCAAAGTATAATTCTTTTAGAAACTTGCCATGAGTTTGACACTAATATTGCCTCTCTCAGAAGGAAAGTACCACAATGGCCATGACTTTGCCACGTTTCTGACAGCTCCTAAAATTCAGTGGTGTTACTCCTTCCTCCCGCTGTCTTGCATCTCGGAGACTGCAAGCCAGCATTTTCGGGGCAGCTGTGTTTCTCCTCCTTGTCCTTTTCCTCTGTTATCTGGCCTACTCTGTTTCACTCCATTACTTCCTACATGACTGTAAATCCGAGAGCCCTTGCAAGCATCGGGATTGGGTGCCGCATTCCTTTCCCCGCAGCGCACCAACCGGGAGGCGAGGCGCTGAGCCACCTGCTGCCCAGCGCGCCGGGGTCCCTGCGGTCAATTCTCAGCTGTTGAGAAGGGAGGCTGGAGAGATTGCAGCTCAGAGAGGTCCGAGGTGAGGGATGGAGAGAAACAATCGAGTCGGGAAAAGGAGTTGTTTAGGCGGGATGGAAGATTCCTGCTTGTGCAGAAAGCTGGATAGCCTCGTTTTACACAATCACAGCTCTCTCAGGTGCGTCGTTACAGAACTGATGTTAGATCCTTTCTGGCTAGGTGGCTTTTTTATTATCGAAGATTTTTTCTATTATTTAAAAGGCCACCACAAACCAGTAGACAATATACTACAAACAAGAGCTAGCATATTAATCTCTGGAAATAATTGGCATTTTACATGAGTTTTTATATATATCAACATCAGTAGGAAATACACACAATGTAGATTAAGTCCTGGTGTTGAATGTTTTAGAATAATTTTTTTTCCCCCCTCACATCCGCCTCCACCTTTCACTACTTGTTTTGACTCCAGTCTCCAATGTTGCTGACTTTACCAGCCATGTTCTGCTGTCTTCATATGGCCAGGAGTCACCAGGGATACGTGATGAAGAGCAACGAGGAGGAGGACAAGCAGCTCAGTGTGGTCACTCTGAAGAAGTGACTATGTGATTAGCTACACTGCATGTATAGCTCTGCTGTGTGACAGGTGAGATTCCCTAATGTGGTGTTTCCAAGTACCTTGCAGGCTTACTTATTTGCAGTTCCTGAGAAGAAATTGTGGATCATTTACTGTAGAACCTGTACCTGAATCTTGTACAAACTCGAGCTATCTTGAGCCACAGGCAAAGCAACACAGGTTGTCCATGTCTTGGTGATTCTACCTTATTCTACCTTCCTTATTTAGGCATTGGGCTCAGAGTGGTACGTTCCATATCAGAGTATGTTTCTGGTTTTTTCAAAAATGACCAATTTGAGCTGGATCTAGCCCTTATTGTACTAGGATACTGAATCTCAGTAGGGGAGCTGTGATTT